ACTCGACTCGGATGCTTTTTGGAACTGCAAAAACAAATTGCAGATTCAGAATCAGCGTCAAATTTTACTATGGGTTTCTGTCTGTGAAAAGTTTGTAGCGATTATGAATAAATCGCTCCCGTACGTTTACAACTTGATGGCCGTTTCGGCCATTGTATTTCTTTTGTCTTTCGAAAAACGTTAACGAGGTGTGACGGCAAAAAAAGTACTGAATTTTGCCACGTTGACTAACATCACCAGGGTTTATCCCTTATCCACCTTGGTACGAGTAATATTATAATGTTGTGTTGCCTGTCCTGGAGGCCTAGACATTTACAGTCTGTGGTTACAATATCTATAGATTTATAAATCGCTACGTCTTTATTCCAAAATAATTAACTCCTAATTCCAGATTCAACTTTAAAAGTGATTAATATTTTTAAAAATTAGTTTCAGACATGTAGGGTGGCCATAAGTCGTTTTGAAACAAGTTTGAACGGTCTAAAATTCAGAAAAAAATTTTGAAATTTAATACACTGACATTGTAGTATCTTTTAAAAAGTACTAGAAAGGTCAACAATGGCAGCAAATTTCTTTTTATCTGCGTTATTAGTACGAAGTACTTAGCAACCCCAAAGTCTATAACAGTTATAAAGTATTGATGGTCATAACTCATCAGCACAAGTCTTCATAAATCGCGAAGGCATCACATCTGTATTTTAGAATTCAAATATATTTCTAAACATTTTACGCATACAGGAATGGTCATGCCCATATGACAGCGCACCGGTAAATATTAGAATTATGGATCATAATTGTCAGTATTACGCCTAATTCTTAATTATATTATCGTACCTGAGACCGAAGACGCACTGGTCCTAAAATTAGTTTATTACCTCTGTAAACGTTTCCCAAAATTTTTGAAAGTTTCTAAAATTTAAAAAAAATTCAAAATGTTTGCCAAGCCGGCCCCGCGCAGCGGGGCTATACTTCTATATTTTAGCATTTCTACATTTGAAAAAAGAGTTCAAAATAAAATTAAATTTCGATAAAAAATTTTGATTACAGTAATACCAGAGCACACATAATTCAGCTGCCGCAATTATATATGTACTTAGTTAATTATTAAAACTAGTGCCTCGTCTAGTGCGGCTTATTTAAGCGCTTCCTCATTGTTTTTTAACGTAATACCAGTATTACGCAGTATTATACGTAATACCATACTTTATTGTTAAATGCAACCGATCGCGCTAGCGCGCGACGGACACCGGACACCGATGCAACGGAAGATGAGTTTATCATTTTAAAAAATTCTCGTAGATTGTGGCAGTTGAATTTGCCATAAATGGACAGAATTATTTGGTTCTATTTATTTTACTTAGAATTTACTAATTATTGTGAGATTCTAGACAGTTCCAGGAAGGTCAACAGATTTGTTTTTTTTAGTATTTTTCGCAACAAAAATCTTGACAACACGTAAAAAGGTCATTCCAAAAGTTCCTCTTTTTCTCCGTGCCATCCGTGCTATAGTTTCAAGTGCTGAAGTATTATATTTTCAAACATAAGACGCAACTGGTCATAAAATAAATAAATAATTCGAAATAATTCGAAATAATTCGAAATAATTCGAAATAATTCGAAATAATTCGAAATAATTCGAAATAATTCGAAATAATAAATAATTCGAAATAATTCGAAATAATTCATTGCTAAATAATTCTAAATAATTCATTGTGATTGCAATGACGAATTGGTAATATGTTTGCTGCGTAATAGGTAGGTGGAAATACATGTCACACTTTGCATGTCTATAAATGCGTAATCCTTGCCAAATCGAATATTTATAACATGTGAGCCAGCTTTTGTATTAGGTCTGTGATTCTAGGAAGAGCAGTTTCAATTGTTAGAGAAGATACCGTTTCGCATACCATTGTTACGTATGCCGTCTGTCTGTTACCGTTACAAGTTTGGCTTTGGCTGTAGCGATAAATGGGTTGAACCGTAGTCTACGGTTGAACTGACCAGACAAAACAAATAAGCAGAGGGTGCAGCCAAACGCAAAGGGTACATGTTAAAGAAAGATCTTGTCTTTAACATGGTTTTGCCCTGAGACACTGGAATTCTAAGATCTTGTCTTTAACATGCTTTTGCCCTGAGACACTGGAATTCTCTTGTGTGAGCGTACCTCTTGTCTGTATATACTCGTATAATATAGCAGACCTTCATTCGGGCTATGCCTTTACTAGCCTCTGCAAGGAGACGTTGCCTTTGCAATGACCGGTAAAATTTACAGTAATTATCGCACGCGCCTGCTAACCGATTGCATTGTGCTTTTCGGAACTGGCTGGTCTTTCAGTTTCGCTGGAACTGAGCCAACGAGGTTCTCTAGGGGCTGTATGGTATTACATACAATACAGTATTAATTGGTATTACTCCCATTTTGCCCATAAACAAAATAAAGATTTTTGTGTGTGTTGTTCATCTTGTTTACAGTATACAGAATTTTGGATTAAGACACTTTTCCATATAGCTCATGTAAGTGGCTAATTCCATTATTAAATGCACTGATTGTGCATAGAAGTGGTTCATAGATTGATAGCTAAAAAATTACAGATAAAGCTATTGACCACTTGAAAAAGCATTTTCGAATTCATCGATTTTCTTAAAAATTAAACATGTGAACAACACCGGGTATCTTATTTTATTTTAGTTGAATTAATATGCCATGTTTTGTTAGAGCTATTTTAGCTGTTTTTACGTAATTTATTTACTTAAATCAAGGCGACGGAAAGACGTATGTGGTTAACGCATTATTTAACTGAGATGAAAAACTGAAAAACTGTAAACATGCTTTTTTAAGGGCCGTAATACATGTTTTGTACCATAATATGATCACTATGATTATGACATTTACAAGAGCCGTTGTGGCGTTCTAGGTGTGGCATACACTGTATTACCTCCACAGCAAAACAGAACTCCTACACTGCGATTTTGGTCTGTTCCTATGGCGTGGTTGTAAGGCTATGAGCAACCCTTTGAAATATTTAACTAAAAACCCAGTGACTACAAGGAAAACAATCGAATTCCTCCCTGCATAGAAAGTTAGGCCCACGTAAATAATTAGCTAGGTATAAAATGAATGAATGCTAGTAGGTATTTTTAACGCAAAATGTATTGCGCTATAAGTTAGGCGCAAGCGGCTTGCGGCGAGGTTTACCCCATTAATGCTGTGGGGTGGGAAATGCGCTCATATAAAGTAATTGAATGCGAATGTGTCCACTATCCACCGAATAAGTTTAATAATTAATGAGATTTAGTTAATTACTTACAAAAATTAAATCTGTAAATTAACCGATTTTAACCATGGTAAGCACTAAGCGCAAAACTGAAACGGTCCACTTTTACCTATAGTACTTCTACTTACTGCTATTATTAAACTCTAAAACCACTATATGCTTATAAACTTGTGATAATTGCAAAAATAAAGTATTTCAAAAGCCCAAATACCTGGTACTTTACCGGCGGTAAAGTTAAATTCTTCTAGATACAGCTCGATATACATATCTGTACTTGATTCATATGTTTATTATTGATGGGCAACACATATGGCGTTTTAATAACTAATGTATAACTTCATTCAACTGTTGTCATACTAAACGGCATTAAAAGAAAACAACATTAGACGAGCTGTTTGATCTGATTCCGGATGGCGTTTTGCATATGGTTATAAAGCAGCATGTGTTGTAAGCATATGGTTGTCCCACATTTCTTTTTCTCTCATTTCAAATGGCAAGCGCTAGGCACGCTACGCCACTTATATTTTCGGACCTCGGCACGCCTGATGGCAGCGTGCTAATTGTAAATAAAGCCGAACTCTTGCGGCAGCTTTAGTCCTTGTCGCAAAACCGGTTTTGCGGCTTTGGTCTTTAACTACAGTACATTATCATTAGTTACACTTAATCTTCAACTCCCTGCACGGAGTTGCAGGGAGTTGAAAATCGATTGAGACTATTGCAAGTGAGTGAACAAACACAGCTGACCGGTCCAGTGAGCTTAAGGGGACAGCTATGACAGCTTTAATTTCTATGTTGTTTTGCAAAAAGAGGCAGCTATACAGATTGAACACTGCTCAAGTAGATGGCAAAAAGATCGATATCACTCGTATTTTGCCGGTGACGGACGGAGAGAAGATCTCCTTATTCGTCGAACGCAGATGCCCTTGAGCATAGCTTCAGTGACAATAGCGGCATAGCGACAAGCGACCCTTAGTTATGCTTCAGTCGACAAGCGTTATTATTGGTGCATCCGGTTTCGATTATCGGAAATATCCTGAACCGAAATACTTTTAATCGCTCATCGCTACAACTTTTCAATATCCATAATTTCTACGTCCATTGCATCATTTTATGATGGTAATATCAAGCCAGAATTAAAACTAATAAGAAACCTAGAAAACGGGATTTTAGTAAACCCTTGCACAGTAGACTTACCTTAAAATATAATATTAACGCATGTCTGATTTTGGGAATTTTCAGCAAATTGTGTACTTGCCTGTCCTCGTATCAAACGTACAATTTTTTGTTAGCTAAATGATTTGCTTCTATTTATCGTATTTTTTCTTTGGCACGCCAATCTCATTTATTCTCATTTCATAGCAAACTGACTACGCGCCAGGAATTTTCTTGGCGATAAGGAGCGACTTTTAATTTGTCATTATTCTCTTTCGGTAGTCTTGATCTTTTTATTTTTGCTTTGCTCATGGAAATACATGTAAAGTCGTGGGTTTTTATTTTTACACCGCAACACGTACATAAACTGCATCGCGTGCACCAACCGTACTACAAATACTTTTCTTATGTGCAGCATAAGAATTTGACTATCTAATTCTGCCTAGCAGCACCTTCACCATAGTATGAGAAGGTGCTGCTAGGCGGAAAGTCCATGCTCACTGCCAGACAACGTTATGCGAAGTTGTTAGACGGCATTTAGCCAATGTTAATCCCTGTCTCATGTGTTTTTAGGTCCGCTCGACAGTTGTTTTGCTCGGAGCCGAAGTGGAGAAAAATATATAAAGTAAGCACGTTTAACTGAAATCACGTATGTATTCCGATTATTTGGATTATACTCGTACTGCAAATCCAGATACTGCAATCTTTGCTTTTCCAAAACATGGACGACTCTAATTTTGTATATTTTTTACTGGGCTGCGCCCTGACGGCAATCTTGTTTGCTTTGATATTTTATTTTTCTAGCATCAATCGCAAGCGGATCAGGCGGCAAAACCATGCGGGTGATGGTGGACAAATGCCGGAACCAGTTTGATATACGTATGAGGCACAGTATACCACGCTGGTGACGGGATCGTTCACATTCACCACAAAAATCGCATTTCTTTTTTTGTAGGATCCGCAAAGTTTCCGGGTATACCTGAAGTGGTGCTAGAGCGGCCGACCGGAAAGACGCGCTTTTCCTTCCCATGCGCATGAAAACTTGTATTAAAAGAATGTTTGCCATGTACGAGTAGTCCATTAACCTGCCTGCTTCGCTTTTACGATATTTCCCCAGAATATTATTATTAAATATACATTCCTAACTCCGCCGTTTTAACTGTCCCTTTTCCTTCAACACGTTTCGGCCGTGAATTTTGTTCGATAGATTTAAAAACGTCTAAAATCCTGTAGCTTGTCCCTATAACTTTAATTTTCAATCTTCTCGTCCTTTGAATTACGAAGCATGACCAAAACGAATTTCGATTATGGGCTTATCATAACGTAACTACAAGTGCATTTTCGGAAATGCGTATGTTTTCGAACGGAAACCATAGAGACAGCAAACTGCGGATACAACATAGCATATAACTGGGAAACTTCAGTAACAGTAAATAGTTTTATTGTCGAAATTTTTTAACTAGCTGAGCTGTAGTACATACATTACATCTAAAATAAAATAAACGCAAATAAATGCCAACCATATAACGCAGTTAGAGATAACTGTACTTTTAGGATTAACCCAAGGATAGCTTTAACAAATAAAATAAAATAGAAGATAATAAATATATTGTGCAAATATACAAATTCGGAAAGGCGTGGTTATAAGTACTTGTAGTGCAGCTGCAACATGTTTTTAGTGGGTGATTCACAAGATTACATGATTGTTTCACAAGAAATTCCGCACGCAAGCAAATCCACCAAACTTTGAAAACAAGACAAACAAGACTGACGAAAATCCAAAGTTTTTAGTACCTCTCGCTGTATCTTTGACCATTGCCGTTGCTTTAGGTGTGCGAGAGGAATGAATGAACATTCCTCTCTTACGTTCCTCCTTTCTGTAAGAGACGAATGCTTATTCATTCCTCTCGCACATCTAGAACAACGGCAATGCTTTGACTAACCATGATAATCTATCTATCTATCTATATAAAAGAATAAGAAGGTACACAAAATTTGTGTGTGTCAGGGTCTAAGTCATAGGCACGTTCAACCAAACTTGAATGTCTATGTACCGTTCGATAGCCCAGAATGTGTAGATTTGTACAAAGTTATCAGATTCCAGAAAAACATAAACAATTTGGAGAAAAAATTCATAACTCTAACATGGAAAGTCTACGAGACGTCAAAAACCAGTGAAAGAGCACAGTTAAGTGAGTAGCCGCCACCTGGCGCAGGTTGTGTGGCTCTGCTCAGTCTGCTGATTTTACCGTAACGGCGAAGAAGTACGGCTTCAGCTTGCAACGCATTATCCCGTTCGTAGTCGAGTTCGTTTAATTTACGTTTAAATTTACGGTAAAAGGCACACGTTTAAACTTTAAAGTGTTTTCAGTTGTCATTTCTGCAGATTTTTATAAAACGTACTGTAAAAAACTACACACAGTAATCTGTAGTTATCTATCTGACAGCTATTCCCGATTTCCCGTTATGAAATTTGAGGGCAGGCACACGCGGAGTGTGTTTGCCCTCAATAGTTCGTGCAGCCCTCAATTTGTGCACCTGCTGCAATAATTTCGCAATGTGAATCTATGGAAACTGTTACAAGTAAAAACTGAAGAAAAGGGAAATTTTATATTTGTTATGTTCAGTTTTTGTAAGCGTGGAAACTTCTTGCGAGCTAGTAGTACCATTCCCCATTCCCTATTAGGGGAAATGGCCCAGTACATGGTGCCAAAAATGGGATACATACACTAAAACTTCCGCTTTCGCGCACTCCGAATCACTTTTTTGTCATACTTTAGGTCATTCTACAGCTGAAAGATTTGTATACATTGTTCTGAAAACCGTTTGCGCACGCAACATCCGGTTGCCGAGATATGGCATAATAAAATGGGCGAAAAGTGTACAAGCATTGTTGTGTACCAGAAGTCTGGTTATTGGCCGATATTCTTTAAACTTTGCTGCAAAATGACCATATAGCCGAAAGTGAACCAATTTCACGTTCATAGCACTTTCCCATAATTTTAAAATGAATTTTAAATTTTTGAAATTTCTTTTAAAATCGGAAAAAAATGCTATTGATCTGAAATTGGTTCACTTTCGGCTATATGGTCATTTTACAGCAAAGTTTAAAGATTTGGTACACAACAATGCAAGCTTTAGAATGATATAAAGTATTAATAAAGTATTATGTATATATGATATAAAGTATGATATAAAGTATGATAAAGTATGATATAAAGTATTATATTAAAAAAGCGATCCGGAGTGCGCGAAAGCGAAAGTTTTAGTGTACAGTATGTATCCCATGTTTGACGCTATGTACCGGGTTTCAGATGACAAGCTGATTTCAGCTGACAAACATCTGCCGGCAATAATTATTGAGCTTTCACATTGCCACTGTCGAAACCTGCATTACATGTTTTGCATTATGTGCTATTTCATTATTTTGATTGTGCTTGTACAGAAGGGAAAATTTCTCAAATTCACACACCTTCATTGTAAAAAAGAATTTTGGTTATCGTTGCACAATCACTTGGCATGAGCGCGCAACGATGATTAAGGGTATAGTAATTACAGCTTTAATTCTAAGCTGTCATATTGCGAAAAGAAGCTGGTATACAGATCGAAGACCGCTCTATTAGATGGCAAAAAGGCCGATGTGATAATATTGCGGGGTTATGGAATATGAATTTTTTAAGCTCGCTACGTAAACGCCGTAACGTTGGAAGCAGTGACTAGCTCGGCTCACCATTACGTACGCATATGCGAGGATATCCTGTTAAAGCAGCAAATGTGCTATGAAAGCCATAAAATATCAGAAGATAAATGTACAAAGGGCAGCGCAAATTAGGCGTTCTGTAAAGATTATGAGAGACTAAGATCCATGTAAAGCATGCCGCTTGGATGATGACGCGTCTCCCGCGTGGATGTTGCGCTTCGTGATTAGAAGTATGGACGTAAGGATTACCAGGAAGAATTCTACCGCAAATATTAACCTGGACGTTTACCATTGATCTTTAGACTAAAGAGGAAGAAATGACGAAAAGAATCATACCCACGGGAATTTTTGTTGTAATATTGATAATGCCGCACTTTCACTAATGCGAATTTAATAGCGTGTGAATAAACGCACAGTAGCGTGTGAACATTTGCCTTGTGCTTGTGTACAAGGTATTTTACTACGTACAATTATTTTATAATTTGTTATTCGTATAGCTTTACGAGCGCGACAGGCCTCTTAATATTATTATTATCGTATTATATATCCTGGTAGATTGGGATAACTAACCAATCCGTTAACGGGACTATCTGTAATGGCAAATAAAATGTTCGATATGAATTTGCTCGTAATAACCATGTAATAATTATTACCATCTGTTTCTGTTCGTGATCGAACAGAAACAGGTGCAGGAATTTGGGAGGACGAGATGAGTGAGTACGATTTTACCTGTTCTTATCTATCGCTTTTAATCGCTAATTCCATTAGCGATTCTGCTTATGTTGATTAGTCTCAGTCTGAAGGCGGCTCCAAAGTCAACCGTTTTCTGAGACGGAGAAGAAGTTTCTCGAGGGCCCGGCGTCGACGGAGTTTTCGTGGTCACTCCCACTCACCGTCCCGTCGTGGTGATTTGTATTCCTCATAGTTGTCCGTGCTTCGGCAATATTAGTGACGCCCTTTTGACAGGAAGTAGGCAACCGCCCGCTGCAACGGTAGGAAGCCACCGCCCAGGGCGGTTGCTTGCTTCAATATGGCAAGCTCAGTATTATTCCGTATAATATGTACAGTACTGTACATGTCGATTACGAGTAGCCCGACAGTGATCTGTGAGCCAAGGCTTTGCAATACGTCAAGCAACATTTTATCAAGTTTTATAATTAGTTGCACCGAGCGCGAAGCGCGAGGTGCTTCAATAAGCCTTCGTCAAGAGCATAAAATTTGTCTGACGCCACGAAGAGTGTACGTCACGCTATTCCAATTCCACGATCCCAATACCATTTCCCAGTGGCATTGGCGCTCGCGCTCGTGAAATGATGTGGTTCGCAACCACCGTTAGTTGCTGTTTAACTTTTTAAATCTGAGAAACTAACTTCACATAAATTTTCAGTTTGGGAATCTACTACCCACTACGGTAATTTTTGGCACAGAATACTTCATGGTAGCTTTCCAATCCTCAAACGTCTTGCAACGTTTCACATAGCTGCTCTGGAGTCTGAATTCTGAGTTATTCGGTATTAAGTTTTCGATGTTGCTAATTTTTTACGAGGTATTTTACTATAATTTAATAAGCAAATGTAAAACTTGCTTAAAACTTATGCGAAACGGCTGACAGATTGAAAATAATGCATAATACTTATGTACTAAGTTACAGGTATGGAAAAATATACGTGAAGTCGGTAAAGATGTAATTTATTTTAGTAATCAAAATGTTGTCAGAGACCGCACACTCAAGGCGGTAGAGACCTCTTGTGGCTTGCTCTGTCGCCCGCACGCAGGTGACCACGCCACTCGTGCCGCGCTATACGCTGCTTACTCAGCGTTCACTTTGTCTACGCTGGCCAATCAGCGTTGCTGTTGCACTCGTGGGGGCGCTGCCCAGCCTACGAGCATTTTTATGCTATGCGGCATCAGCTGATACGCAGCTGCAGCACGCCGCTGATTGTCACGATTTTCACCGAGCTCGCTGGCATCCATTTTCCATCAGCATCACACCGCAGACTTTGGGTTTTGTTGGGTTTTTGGTTGCTTTGTTGATCTTCAATAAAGGTTATGTTAGATTTGCTCTACCTTCAGCACTGCTATCTGACATGGTATCAGACCGCTGAATTTTGTTTTCTTGAACCTCTGAATCCCAGTGGAGACAATTTTTGGTCAAAGGATCTCGCTGCGACCATAAATGGCTCAGCGCCTGCGACTAGAAGAGTTCGCCACCATCACCCGCGGATTATACAGGTCTCATTAAAGACCTGCTGCGCGCGGATCTAATTATACGGGCGAGCGCGTTTATAAGTAGGCCGCCCCCGCGTCTTGGCTCCCCGACTCAAAAATTGAGAGGGAACGATCCAGACCTAAATAGCGCCCTATCGGGTACGCTGCGGCCCTCACGTTAGAAGAGAGTGAAGTGGAACGACGGAGCAGCACTGTCTGGACGAACAACTCCCGGTAAGACCTGCTGTGGCGTCGCAGGACAGTTTTCGTAGAATTTGGGAATTTGCCGTAGAACCGTTGACAGTTTGAAAATTATCAACTTTTGAACCGTTGACCGGATTTGGTTAGAAGTAGCATTTTCGGAATCTCCGGGAAAGTACTTCTAGAATTGAGTACT